TAAACTGGCCTTGAACTCACAGAGATCTGTGCATTTTTGCGTCTGAGTGCTGGCTGAGCCTAGAGGAGTATGTCATCACATGGTATGTCCAAACAAGCATTTGAACCTCAAGTTCTTAACTATCAAGCTCTGCTTTACATTGAGAGAGAAGAGAGTACCTACATAGCTATTAGATTTTGAAGGTGTTATGTTGTGCAGGCAATTCAGCTGTCCTGCCCTTAGGGACCTTTAGGGTCCTGAAGACATCCTCTGTCAGTACCTGTGTCCTATGACATCATCTAGGCCAGGTATTTAGGTATAACCCATCTGCCACTCCCTCTCTCTCTGGCTCTCTCTCCTCTCTGCTCTCTCCCTTCTCTCTGTCAGGGCGTTTCCCTGCCCCCACCTTGTCTATCTGTCTCTCTCTTTCCCTCTCTCCATCCCTATCCAATATATATCTTTCCTATCAAATATGTTATATGCGTGGCATAGTTTTAAATAAATCCCAACAGAAGGAGCATAGAATCAGCGCCTGACTCAGAATTTGAGGATGAAATTACAGAACTTAAGGAGCTACTGACACCCCCTCATCTTGAGATAGTAATGAGCTTTACCTATTCTGACAACTAGTGAGACAACAGTTGATAGAGGAGAAGAGCTGTTGACAGGTGACAGGAATGAAAGGTTATAGGAATTACCTCAGCCATTTCATTTCCTCTTTTAGAGGCGGGTAAAATAATATGCTTGCTACAAGAATTCTCCAAGTTTGTCTCCCTGTCCTTAGGATCCCATGGAAACAGATGTGTACCCTATTTCAATTCCATTATCCACAGTAAGTAGATTTGAACAACTACTTGAGATTTCCTAGATGGTAATCTTTTGGTTTTGTTTTCTCTGTGTAGCCTTGGCTGTCCTGGACTTGCTTTGTAGACCAGGCTGGCTTTGAACTTAGGCTGGCCTTGAAATCACATCGATCTGCCTGCCTCTGCCTCTGCCTCCCAGAGTGCTGAGATCAAAGGCATGTGCCACCACGCCCCAACTCCAAGATGGTAATTTTTACCCTGCAGGGAAGCATTAACTTTCCTAGGGATTATTTGAGAAAACGGCAGCACGGGAAGCACGGATGCCGGCCAGCCACATGTTTAATGAGTTTGCTCTCTTCGAGGCAGTCTTTTTCAAGTAGTGGGGAGCAAAAATAATTGGTAGGTGGTCTTTGCCTTCCTGGAATATATAACTTAGTTGGACATTTCCAGCCTAGGCATAGAATTACATTGTTCAAAGGAAAAGTCCCAAAGAATTAAAGAGTCACCAGAAGCTGGAATGAGTCTTGTCGGGTGGGGAAGTGGTGAAAGAACGTGGAAATGCAGCTGTGAGGATGGACTTTTTATATTGGAAGCAGGAAGATCATTTCAAGGTCATTCTTGGCTACACAGCAAATTTTCGGCTGGCCTGGGTTACATTGTGTGGGGAATGGGGAATAAAGGCTGGGGAGTTGGCCCAGTGGTGAAAGTCCTTGCTGCATAACTGTGAGAACCTGAGTTTGAATCTCCAGAACTGAGACACGAGCTGAGCATGGTAGCTCATATCTGTAATCCCAGGGCTCCTACAGCAAGGTGGGGGGTACAAAGAACCCCTGGAAGGTCATGGGCCAGCTAATCTGCTGCACACAGCAGCAAAGAAACCTCTCCAAACCGTGGAGGAAAGAGGGGCTGGCCCCTGAGCTTGTTCTGCCTTATGTGAGCACGGCTTCTGTGTGCCTGATACACACATGCTCGCACACACACACACACACACACACACACACACACACACACACACAGGTCAATAGTGGCAAAAGAGTTGAGGGTTCAATGCTAACCAGGCTTACGAAATGTGGTCTAGGCCAAAGACACTGCTTCAAAATAAATTCTTAAATAGTCCCAAGTAATCTCTATTACCTTCCCTGTGGGTTTAAATATTTTGCTTAAATATTTTCTTATATAACTTGCTATCTTACATAAGTGTCCTCACCATTAAATTTGTGACTTCCTCCAACTCTAATGACAAAAAGTCCTTCATACTCTTGGAAAGAATTCCCAGCACTTCCCTTTTGCTAATAAAGGTGTCCTCTTTAGCCCAACCCCCTGATGGCACATATGCAAGTGTTAAAATTAGTGCTCAGACAGGGAGGAATCAGCTGCCGAATGCTCTCTAACAAGCAGAAATTTCACATAACTCAGGCCTCTGGGGGCTCTGGCTCAGCTGGAGAAAAGCCAGAAATGCCTGTGACTGCAGGTGCACTTGGACACACTGGGACCTGCAGAAACAACGAGCCAGCTTTACTGCAGTTGATTTAGGAGAAGGCTAGAGGGCTGAGTTTTCACTGACATCTGCAGCCTGGAAAACCGTGCCCCACTCGTTGCAAAGATCTGTTGTAATGATCTTTTTCTTTTGGTGAAAAGATGCATTTCTCATTTTTAATTCTTTACTCATTCAGGCTTAACCCCTGTTCAAAGGACTCATTGGAAGTTTCTGTCTGCACATGAATGCACTTTGATAGAGTGGAGCGTGGCTACAGCTTAGGCTCTTCCTCGTGTATTTCCAGAGTAATCCTGTGAACTTCCCCTTTTCCAGGAATTGAAGCACATTCCCTGTTTGTTCCCTGTCTCTGCCCAAATGAGAGCATGGGAATTTTACTTCAACTGCTAAAAAAAGTTAGAGGACATCGTGGTCCTAATGAGTTTGCTGAGAACTTACCTTCTTAGTAGTGTGGTTTCTGGATTTGATTTGATTTGATTTGATTTGATATTTAAAGACAGGGTATTACTGTGCACTGTGCGGCCTGGAAATCACTTATGGAAATACAACTCCTGTCTTAGCATCCTGGGATTTCAGGTGTGAACCACAATTCCTGGGCAAGACCCTTCCTTTTTTGAGGTGTGAGGTGGCTAGAAAACAGCATTAAACCAGGAAGCTGGAAAAACAAATTTGTCTTGTTTTCTTATTGTGGATGTTAAGTCAGCGTCTTTAAGCTAGAATCTTTACTATTTATCCTTAGTCTCCTCAGTTCCTCTACCCCACGAGGCTGGAAGAAACCAACAGTGGATAATAGTGTCCCAGGCAAGAAGGTAGATGCTCACAGTTGTATAGTTATTATGCTGAGGGTCAGAACACCTGATTCACAGCCACAGTCCTAAGCCTATCTCTCCAAGGCTGCTCACCTGTGCCACATACCTTAGCTGAAGGTTAGATCCAGTCTCTAAAATGAGTCTCTGATTCCAGGTTCAGCATCCTGAGGGAGAATCTCCAGATGTGCAGAGCAAAGCATTGTCTGCCTGTCTATTGTCCAGTGGGTGTCATGGGGTTCTAGGACTGTGTCTGGTTATCTTGAGTGATGTCACTGAGTTCTGGTTATCAGGTACAGCCTTGGGTGTAGTGGGGATCCTGACTGAGCTATTTTTACATGTCTAAGAGGCATTTTTTTAAAAACTATGCTCACTACTTTGGTTATTAGCTCTACAATTAGGCAAAATCACGGGCTTTTTAGATAACAAGTTTTTATACAGTTTCTGGGATGTTCATCTACATATGAAGGAATCCAGACTAAGATGGGAAACCTACAAATTCAAGACCAAACTCCAGTATTTGGTTATATAAAGCATCTTGTGCACACACTACCCATTTCCATAACCCTGTGTTTTGTTCACATTGGAATTCCAGCAACTTCCTAAGTAAGGATCACAGATGGTTAGGGGTTTTGTTGTTGTTGTTTTGTTTTGTTTTTGTGTTCACTTGATTGGGCTGAGAGGCCTGGATAGACAGATGTAAACCGTTTCTGGGTGTGTCCGTGTTTCTGGAAGAAATTTGCACGGTGACTAGAGTAAAGAAAACTGTCCTCACCAGTGTGAACAGGCATCATCCAGTCAGGTGGGGACTGCAAGGGAACAGTGAGACACGGGGTTTGTTCACTCTGTGTGAAAACTGGGACACCTCTCTTCTGCCACACGTCAGTGCTCCTGGTTTTCCATGGGCTGGGCCAGCTTTTCCGTAGTAGCTTTCCACCCTCATTCCCTCCTCAGGCCTCCAGCCCTGACACCTTCAAGACTTATACCATTGGCTCCTCTGGGATCCAGAGCATACCAAGCAACTTTCCTGGGGCTGCAGATGGCAGATTATGGAATTCAGTCCCATGATCTTGTGGCTAATCTCGCACAATCTTCGTTAACTATGTACCCATTGGTCTGTTTCTCTGGGGAAAAAAACATCACCATGCTGCAAGTATCTTTGACCCTGCACACTGTGGCTTCCCAGTGCTTAAGAAGACATGGTCCCCTCTAATTACAGGCAAGTAAACAGGTGATTTAAAGAAACACTGACAAAACCTTTGGATTCATGCCTTTGGACGCGTTTTCACGTACGCTGTGTCCTCTGCTATTCTTTCTCTCCGCTGTCATCTTTGACTCACCCCCAAGACTAACCAAATGTTCTTTTTTATCCTGTCCTCGGGACCTTTGTACAGTCTTTTAACCACAGAGAATCACACCTAGTGGTTGCCTCCGTTTTTCTTCCCCTCTAGACCACAAGCTCTCTCGGGTTGTAGTGCATTTTATCCAGCTTGTCTCCAGGGCCTTAAAAGGAGCCCCCGGCACACCTCTGTGCGCTTAGCGCTTTTGCAATGAACCAATCAATGCAAGAATGAATGCGCCGCCCGGCCCTGCAGGAACGCAAAGTGCCTCTCCCTGCTGACTTTGCTCTCCCTGCCGGGGCAGCTCCCGTAGAAGAGGTCAGGAGTTCGAGGAGGTCACGGGGAACCCACGCGAAGGACCGTGAGGAACCGTGCTGCGCGAGCCGCCGCCCCCCTACCGAGAGCTTCGGCGAACCAGGACAACTTCAACTCCCGGAAGCGGCCTCGCCGGCCTCGCCCCGCCCCTCCGGAAAGTGGGCGTGACCCTCATGAATAATGAATCGCCGGGGGGAGGGGAGGGGCCCGCCCCCCTCGGGCGGGAAGGGGGAAGCGCCGAGGCTGCCTGACTGGAATCGGGGGAGCTGCAGCGACGGCGGCCGCGGGAGCAGGGCCGGCCATGGCGGTGTGGACACGGGCCACCAAAGCGGGGCTGGTGGAGCTGCTGCTGAGGGAGCGCTGGGTGCGGGTGGTGGCCGAGCTCAGCGGCGAGAGCCTGAGCCTGACGGGCGACGCCGCGGCGGTCGAGCCTGAGCCGCCGGCCGTCGCCTTCAACGGTCTCCCGAACGGCGGCGGCGGCGGCGGCGGCGGCGGCGGCGGCGACTCGCTCCCCGGGAGCCCGAACCGCGGCCTGGGGCCGCCCAGCCCGCCCGCGCCGCCCCGGGGCCCCGCGGGGGAGGCGGGAGCCTCGCCGCCGGTGCGCCGAGTGCGAGTGGTGAAGCAGGAGGCGGGCGGCCTGGGCATCAGCATCAAGGGCGGCCGCGAGAACCGGATGCCGATCCTCATCTCCAAGATCTTCCCGGGGCTGGCGGCCGACCAGAGCCGGGCGCTGCGGCTGGGCGACGCCATCCTGTCGGTGAACGGCACCGACCTGCGCCAGGCCACCCACGACCAGGCCGTGCAGGCGCTGAAGCGAGCGGGCAAGGAGGTGCTGCTGGAGGGTGAGCGGGGCCGGGCGGGAGGCGGCGCGGGGCGGCCTGAGCTCGCTCGCTCGCCCGCGCGCACTTTGTCTCTGCCACCCCGACGCCTGTGCGGGGCGAGCCGCTTCTCTCCGCCTCGGTCACCAGACCTCCTCCTCCGGGGCTCTGGCGTGTGGAAAAACTGACGCGTCCCGCGAGGAGAAAGTTGGGCGGCCACCGAAGTGTCGCTCTGCCGCCCCTCGGCGAGGCTGGGCTGAGATTTGGGGGGGGGGGGGGGGGGGGAGCAGCAGCCGCGTGAGAAGCTCACCCCTCTGGCACGATAAGCTGACACTAAGCACCGACTCCGGGCGAGCGACCGGCTCGGGTTGCGTGGTCTCCTTTTTGCCTGCCGGGAAGCGTTGGTTGGGCGCTTTCTCTAGTCACCTCGGGCTCCCCGGGCGGGCGGGTCTTAGTAAATCCATCCACACCGATGCCAGCAGTTTGCTTGGGCAAACCACCAAAGCACTGGCTAATTTATGGGAATTTAACCCATCATTGGCTCTCAACAATAACCAGAGGAGATCATAGCACTTCGTGGAAGGCAGAGAGCTGATACAGCAAGTTTGTGTGCTTAATGAGCCTTGTTTAACAGTGGAGGCTCACGTGTTTAAGCATTTTACTGCCAACTAGAGTTTCGCCCCTTTTGCAAGGGACTGGTGCCAGCTTCCTACCGCTTGCGGGCTTGCTGCCTCAAGACCAGTAGCGTTTTATAAGAATCTCTAAACCTTCCCATCACACGGTATGTGCGAATAGACCTCTTTACCTTAAACGTAGATGCAATCTGGGTGCTGTGTTTCATACGAATTGATGCAATCGTGCAGGCTGAAGGTGATGGAGTTTTGTAAAATGAAAAGCCGCTGCTTGCTCTAGAAATAATTGCACGACCAGCTTTGTTTCCGCTGTTGAGTCAGTCATTCCAGGAGCATCTACTGCTGCTAGCTGTATAATAGAGAATGCCAAAGGTGCTGTCCCTATTTTGTCTCTATGTGGGGGAGATGATAGAAAATGCAAAACAATTTCTAGGTAGGAAAAACATTTAATACTTGATTCTGTAGTACAAGCTACAGGGTGCTAAGGGATTACAAATTTAAGAAGTATTTGATGCTATGTATCGGGTGAGGTGGTTCACACGCTACACTCAAGAGGCAGACGCAGGCAGATCTGAGTTTAAGAGCCTGGTGTAGGCCTACACAGTGGGACTCTGTCTCAAAAGAAGAAAAAGAAAAAAAAAAGTGTTTGATGGAAATAGGCTTTAGTCCAAGAGGGCTTTCCAAAGAGCAAAATTTTGAGCTAGATCTTCAAGGAAGTGGTGCACGCAAATGTGCAGAGATGAGTCAGGAAGGATTACTGGCAGGAGCACTGAATGGAAGGGTTGGTGAGAAAATCATCAAACCAAGAGGCCAGAATTAAAACCGAGTCAAAATAATTTTTATCTTTTTTTGTTTGTTTGTTGGCCTAAAATTCACAGAGATTGATCTGCTAAGTGCTAGGATTAAAGGCATGTTCCACCATGCTCAATGCTCAGCTTGTATGTGTGTGTGTGTGTGTGTGTGTGTGTGTGTGTATGTATGTATGTGTGTATGTATATGTAAGTGTGTGTTTGTGTGATCATGTACACATTCAGGCCAAGCTGGCCTCAAAGTGGTCATCTCATGAGTGCTGGGATTTACAGGCATGTACCTCCATATCCAGTTTTCACTTAAAAATTTAAAAAATTATTTTATGCATGTGAGTGGTTTTTGCCCACATGTGTAGCTGTGGCCTGCATGCATACAAGGTGGCCTGAGAGGCCACAAGGGAGTGTCAGATCCACTGGGATTCAAGTTACAGGTGACTGTGAGCCACCTGATGTGGGTAATGGGCATCAAACCGAGGTCCTCTGTAAGAGCAGCTGGGGTACTTACCTGCTGAGCTGCTGAACTATCTCTCCAGCCCCAGTCTTCACCTTTTTGTAAATCTGTGATACTTGGAAAAAATTAGTTTATAAAGAAATATCATTGGACTGGGTGGTGGTGGTGCACGCCTGGAATCCCAGCACTTGGGGAGACAGAAGCAGGTGGATTTTCTGAGTTCGAGGCCAGCCTAGTCTACAAAGCAAGTTCCAGGACATTCAGGGCAGAGAAACCTTGTCTCTAAAAAACCAAAAAGAAAAAAAGAAAGAATGAACATGGGTTTGGTGAGATGGCTCAGTGGGTTAGACCTTTACTGCTTTTTCAGGGGAGCCAGTTCAATTTTCAGTATGTATATCAGGTCCACAACCACCTGGAACCCCAATTTCAGTACATCTGATACTTTCTGGCCACCCAAGGGCACCTGCACAGACATGTACACATAATTAAAGTGTTAAAATTTTGTTTTTTTTTAAGTGCTGTAATTGTGAAATTGCAATGCCTCACTTTTATAATGTCGTACTTATGAGTCTTGTTTCTATCCCAATTTTAGGTAGAACCAGACACTGCCCAGAAATTAGTGTTAGTGAAAGGAGTAAAAATACAACAAAATTGGCATAAGTTTGTAAAAATAATTGTTACTTTAAATAAGTAACTTGAGGGCTGGAGAGATGGCTCAGAAGTTAAGAACACTGTCTGCTTTTCCTAGAGGTCCTGAGTTCAATTCCCAGCAACCACATGGTGGTTCACTACCATCTATAAAGAGATCTGGTGTCCTCTTCTGGCATGCAGGTGTACATGCAGACAGAACATTGTATGCATAATAAATAAATCTTAAAAAAAAAAGTAACTTGATGTTGGTCTAGATAAGTATTCGAGTATAAGTTCTTAGAGCCAGAATCTTGACTTTCATTCTGTCTTGTGGTATGCAGTAGTGATGGATAGACAGTTCAACCCTTTATGCCATATTAAAATGCAAAACGGGAGGTTTTTGTTTATCAGTGGTTTGAACCTGGTATTCATAGCTATAAAATGACAACCATCTAGTAAATGCTTCCAGTATTCATTACTCATAGGCCTTGTGTGTTTTTAGAAACAGGATTACAAATGGTGGCATAGTAACATTTACTGGAAGCCTTTTTACCTAACCTGTGGACTTTATTTTCCCATTTTGTGTCAGACAAGCAGTTTTTGTCTATATAGGTGTGGGTAAGTCAGTATGGTGAGTTTGTGGTATTCCATTTCTAAGTCAAAGTATGTAAAAATAAAATTGCTCAAATACAAAATCCCTTAGAAGAGTTATTAATGATGGGGGTTGGAGAGATAGTTCAGTGGTTAAGAGCACTGTGTGTTCTTCCAAAGGACCCAGAGTTCAATTCCCAGCACCCACATGGCAGCTCACAACTGTCTCTAACCCCAATTCCAGGGAATCTGACACCTTCACACTAACACATAAGATAAAATTAAATATATTTTTTAAAAAGTCATTAATGAGGCAGTAAAACTATCTAAAATTGAGAACTATTGTTTTCGTTTTCTTTCTTTTTTTCCCTTAAGCCAGAGTTTCGTGTAGCCATGCTCTCCTCATGTTGTGAGTCTAGTCTTGAATTTTTGGTCCTCTGCTTCTGGGCCATGGTTATAGGCCTAAACTACCAAACTTGGCTCAGTGGGCCATTTGTAAAGGATAAGCATTTAAAGTATGGTGACATGAGCATGTTTAAGTTCAGCACTTGGGAGACAGGCAGGAGGATCTCTTGAGTTCAAAGTCAGCCCAGTGAGTTCAGTATAGACAGAGTTATGCAAAAAACCCTACCTCAAAAATCAACAAAAAACCTACATGGGAGATTAATGCAGGAAAAAGGGTTGTTTCAAAGGCGCCATTGGCTTTCTGATAAAACCCAGCACTTGAGGGATGGAGCCAGGAGGATTGACAGCTGTTTGAGGACAGCATAGGTTACAAAATGGGAGTCAGGGGGAGGATTAGAGACAACATTATTCCTTAAAACATTCATAAGTGATATTGTCCCTCCGTTAGATGTCCGAAAACTTGCCTTGACATAACATACTAATATTCTTTTGGTGGTGTGGGCAGGGAATTTCAAGCATGTTCTTGCCACCCACATGTCCTCAGCAGCCTTAGTGTCTGGTTGCCTGCGGTTAGGTTAGGGGAGAGAGCTAAATCTTGGAAAGGTGAAGGGATTGTTCTTACATTCTTTTGTTAAACATTTACTCAATTTCTCTTTTCTTATCCTCACTGTCCTCATCCCCAAGGAGAAAAGCCTGTTAGTGGTTTTGGTTTGGTTTGTGTTTTGAAGACAGGCTGGCCTGGAATTCCCTGTGTAGCTCCCTGGCTTTGGACTCAGCGGTTCTGCCTGTGCTGCCATGCCCAGCTTCACAATCTCTTAAAGAACAACCAAATTGTTAGGCTATGTTTCTGTGCTTGTTTCTTTTTGTCTTAGCCTCTCTTTATTTTACTTAATGTCTATGTGGGAAACTATCTCTGTAGTCAGATACCAGCACCTTTCTCTCTCATTCTGGGTTTTTGAATCAGGGTCTCTTGTAGCTTAGCCTGGTCTTGAATTTGATATGTAGCTGAGGATGACCTTGAACTCCTCCTGATTCTTCTACTTTGCAAGACATTTCTTATAGAAGCTCGTTCATGCCTGATGTAGCCTCTAAATTATTACCATGATATGGGAAAGTAATTAATTCTAATAGAACAGTCATGAAACTTCTAAGAACATTTTCTAGGAACCATAACCAACTATAATTTAGGTCTTAATTGACAGCTTCAGCTGTTATCTTCCTACCATGTAGCACTTTCTGGGTGAAGGTTACTAGACTTTGCAACAAATGTGTATTTTTTATTATGAATGTGAGGTCTAGCTGGTGGCTAAGTAAACATTCTATAGTGTGGAGCTGACTCAAATGGACTGGTTCAGTGTTCTTGGCTTGATCAACACATTGAGGTAACTAACCAACTAAACAAACAAAAAATAATGCTCCTATCTATGAAGTGGTTTTTGTTTTTTGAGATGGGGTTTCTTTGTGTGGCCCTGTGTCCAGAAACACACTCTGAAGACCAGGCTGGCC